TTTTCTAAACTGATTCATTTCATTGAACATCATGAATACATTTCTTAAAAATCACAACTGTCCCCTTATTTTCCCATACCTAGGTAGAACAAAATGTAACTTAATCAAAATCTCCAAAGGGTAACTTAATTAAAATCTCTATAGCAGCGGGGGTACGAGCAAGATTTAATTAATTAAAGGTCAAACTTGTGGTCACCAGCTAGCCCTTGAGAAACTGCACAACAGTTAATATAGTTTGCTATTAGCTCTCTACCTCTCTACACCTCTATTTATCTTAACTAACTGTCATTTGGGTTCATAGTTCATGAGCAGGAGATATTTACAGCACTGTGAGAAATATTGAATAACTTGCCTCCTTAATGCATTTACTTGTCCCAACTTTCTCTCTATTTCTTATTTCCCACTATTACTTACATCTAAAGTCTGTCCTTTCAACCTCTTCATAAGACCCCTTTAGTAATAAGAAGGTCAGCAATAAGGGGGGAGTTATAGTAGTGGGAAAACAGAGGGAGTGAGTTTCAGTAGAGGTTTCTTTAGAAGTGGATGTGGCAATAGAACTAAGAGAAACTGGAATTTTGGGACTTTTGAGCCAGATCAGATTTCAATACATCATTGCCAATTTGCCTTATGGAGAGTTTGTTGTTAGTCACAAACACAATGATTCCTGTGACCAGAGTAACAACTTTAAACATTATGGCATGAAAAAAATAAAACATGAGGGTATGATGTGTTCCACCCTTCTTTTCCCCAAGCTGGAATTTTGTCAAGCAGCCTTGGAGGTCGGTTGGGCTTCGCCACCTGGCCAAATGTAGCTTTTACGTCATGAGGCACTAAGCCTACAAACTGTTTCAGAAATGAAAGCATTGACTGCTAAAGCTAACCCAGACCTTTTTGGAAAGATTTCAAGCTTCATCAGGAAATACAGTGCTGCCAATGTGTCCTTAACATTTGACAACCGAGGCTCAGAGAGTTTTCAGGGTCATGGTTATCATCACTCCCACTCCTACAGAGAGGCCCCTAAGGGTGTGGACCAGTACCCAGCCAGTGTCTCTGCA